TTTCCCAGTAAGGGCACTGCAAGGAGCATCTGCCCGGGCTGCTGGCACCGCAGGGGACTGTCCCTGTCCCCTGCGTGCGGAGCCACAAAGCCGCCCCCCCAGCCCCGGGGGCTCAGCCGGCCTGAGCCTCTCCTGGCCTAGTTTCCAGGCGGCCGCGGGCGACGGGGCCGGGCCCGGAGCCCGGCTGCTCCGGCAGCAAACTGTCCCCGCTGGATGGCTCCCAGCTCCCAGCGCTGCCGGGAACAGCCTGTCCCTTTCCCGGCCCACGCCGCCCACGCGCCGCGGCTCCGCCCCCCGCTGGCTGCCGGCGCGGGGCGGGCAGGCACAGGTGGCCATGGCACGTGCTGGGGACATGCATGTCCCCAATGAACCCCTCTGAGGGTGCCCGGGGCCGAGAGCATCCTCAGGGCGTACTCAGCATCATGAGCATCCTCCGGGCAACGTCAGCACAAGGAGCATCCTGGAGGATCCAGCACCGCAGCACCCTCCCCACTGACACATGTCACCTGCTGGGGGCCAGGATCTGTCCCAGGGGGACATAGGAGAGGGGAAGGGGGATATTTGGGTGGCAGCAGGTTGGGGATAGACGTGATTCAGAGCACTGGGCTCCTCTTTGCAAGCTCTGAAAGAGCCAAGAGGCTCATGCCAGCTGGAAAACCAGCAGTGGCAGGGAGCGACCCCGGCTCCGGCGCTGTCCCCAAGCCCCGTGCGGGCACCCACCTCTCTCGCGCACGAAGTAGGCCAGGTAGAGATCGAGCTCCTTGACAGAGACGCTGATGTGGTGGGGCTGCACGCAGAGGATGGGATTGGTGCACTGGCCCGACTTGACGAGGCGCTCGCCGTCGGTGCTCTCCAGCGGGATGCCCTTGAAGAGGATGACCATGACGAGGTCGAGCCGCCACACCTTGTCCGCCTGGCGCAGGCAGTCGATGCGGCGCATCTTGCCCTTCTGGTCGGGGTTGGAGAGGACGCAGCACGAGGGCTTCTTGCCCGTGATGGAGAGCACGAAGTCCTCGCGGCACTCGGGCCGGATGTCCTTGCGCAGCTTGGCGAGCAGGCGGGATGCCCACTTCTGCTTCACCTCGGGCTTCTCGCTCAGCAGCTCGTCCTTCACTGCGCGCTCCTCGTCCTTCGTCATCCTCTTCTCGTGCTTCTTGAAGTACTTGCGCTTGCGCGCCTGCAGGTTGAACCAGGTGTAGGCAAAGGCGCGCACATGCGGCAGCAGCGCTTCGATGAACGGGTGGAACTCATCCTGCAGGGACAGGGACACGTATCACCCATCAGCCCCCCTGTGCCACATGCCATGGCCTTGCGGTGCCCCCCACTCTGCCGGGCAGGACGCCTGGGCCCACTCCCCCACCCGCCGTAGGGCTGGCTCCATGCGAGGTGCCTGGAACCAGGACCCTTGGGTGTTCTGCCCGGTCCCATGGGTGCGCGGGGCTGGGAGGTGGCAGGTCCCTGCCCTGGGGCCGCTTTCTGTGCTCTTGCATGCACCACCATGTGCCCTGCTGGGCTCCAGCCCAGTTCAACCAGCACCGGCAGCCCAGAGGCCAAGCCGACTGACCCAGGGGACCCGGAGCACGTAGCAAAATGGGGGCGAGGACACAGCAGGGCCATGTCCCTGCCACCCCTCTTCCCACCCATGCGCTCCAGAATCCCTTCCCGACTGGCACCCCAAGCTGGGGCAGGCATTTCCCTGCAAGCGCGCCAGGGGAAAGCGGCATTTCCCCACGAGCATCCGCCAGAGCACACCAGGACCTGTCCCTGCTGTGTCCCTTGTCCCCAGGGACCCCCGCGGCACCCCCAAGGCCGAGCAGCAGCAGGACGCCCCGTGCACTCGCCCTGCTTTTGGCCGGCCCGGCTGCTGGCTGCGGGCCCGGCAAGCAAGGCGCGCTCTGACGGCCTTTTTCCATTCGGCCAGCGGTTCTGAACGCGGCCGTCCCAGAAAAAAAAAAAGGAAAGCGCCTCAATCTCCCGCCGCCAGCCGCCTTCGA